ATCTTGAACAAGGCGTTAGTTCATCCAATAGATGGCGACACGCACCCGTGGGGTGGCCGAAACATTGGTTCACGGTGGGATGGCTCGAGCACCATCACGTTGCCCTCGTGGCCTTGCTCGCGCCGCTGCCAGCTGTGCTCAGCTAGCTCAAGTAGCGTGTCCCTGCAAACGGATGTATGCGAGAATGTCAGGCTGGGTATAAATTGTTCTCTGATATAGGGAGATGCGGTTCGGCGGTTGTAACGGGCTTTCGCAATAAATCTTACCAAGAAGGAATCAAATGTTGATTGACGTGTTAATATTCTCTCAATGAAAATTTCTTCTACAGGAATGCACGCTCAGTAGACTCAATCTTCCATGACACCAGTGGAAGCGGACGTCAAGTAAACTGCTTCGTGATTTATGGTACTTACCTCACCATTTTAATTACGACTAAAATAACGTCTCGAAATATTGTGTTTCACGGGGTCCGGAAGATGTTGTAAAGGTTGTTACATTATAGGGGGGGTTCATAGAAACTTTCTGGAAAGGCTCGAAGTCTTCCTTGAGTCCAACGCCATCATGAACAGTAACTGAAAACGATCCGCTATTTAGTCGGTGGGTGGCGAAACTTATCCGCATCTGTGGAGTCATGATCGATGCGTACTCTAAGTGGCTGGAAGTTTACACGATGCCTGCCACGACGTCCGGACACGTCATTGACGTTCTACGGCTTCTTTGACCTACTTTTGCCCTACCGAAAATACTTCTCTCTGATAACGCGCCAAATCTTGCTTAAAATAAAATAAACAAGTTTTTGAAGAAAAAAAGAACCGGCATCAGGCATCACATTAGTGCACCATACCATCCTGCAACGAACGGGCAAGCAGAACAGAGGGTGTGCGAAACAAAAAAAAATGCCCTATTGAAGCTTACGGAAGAAGCAGTTCAGTGAAGAATTGCCAGGTTCTTGTTCCAGCAGCACGCGACTGTCTCATATTAGACGGTAAAAGCACCCGCCGAAGCAATATTCGGCGGACGAAGAGCCACACCCCTCGATCTCATGATACTATGGCCTACGAACGAAGATCGAGAGATTCCCAGATCGGGAGTAATGGCAGTTTATTCGGTCGGACAACTCTTCTGCGTGAGGAATTTCAGCGGAAACCGGTCTTTCATGTAAAACTTGAGTCGAAAAAGCTCTATGTTGGTTGATCAGAAGGTGTCATCCCTCTGAATACGAATGCCCTTGAGTGTAGATATAACTAAATCACAAAACTCTCTTTGTGTATTGTTTAACTGCCCTTGTATTTGATAGTAGAAGCTATGGTGGTGATTTGGACCTTTCACACCAGGCTCCTTTTTCTTATTTTTCGCCTCATATTCCTTTACGGTTTAAGTATGCTTCAAAAATCTTTTGGAACGGGGACACTTTACGTCAACGAGGCCATTTGTTCCAAGTAGTCAATCAGGGAATTCTGCTAGAAATCCGTCCCTCATATTAACAAATAAGCCGCACTTCTGCACAGTGCAGTTGTCCTGTTCCACGTACAGTTGTAAAGCAGCATCCTCATTGATTCTACCATATTCTGTTGCGGGTGAAGAAAGTTTTTGGGTACACGATACTTGAAACAAGTCTGGCACTGTACGTTGTGGTTCGACACCCACTAATGTCGTCGTCCTTATAGAGCCTCATCATTTAATCATTACCTCGAGCCCCCCTCCCCCCTCATAATGCTCTTTATCAACAGTAAGTACAATAGGCTACCGCCATATTACAATCCAAGAATTGAAAAATTGAGTCGTTCAGTCCTTCAACGAATTTGTTATTTATATAATGTTATTGCGTTACATTACCTCGAGACAATCAACGTCCATCGTTGATCTTCAAATACTTATACCTGTATGTAAATTAGACGCACAAGGGGGGAGGGGGGGGGGGGGGGGGGGTCCGTGGCCGAGTGCATGGTCTAGCGCACACCAGCTCGGAGCACTTGCAGCGAAAGCTCGCGCTGCAGAACTCACCCCGCCCCTGCCCGTTTCGATCTGGAAGAGCATCGTACCGGCGTGCGGTCGCGTATCCCGGTGCATGTTAAAACCCCAGGTTTGCGGTTGTACCGCACTGGCTAAATTTCTCATCTACAGCTGAGACACCAGACGCCCACTAATGCAGACTAACTTCCGGCTCTATAAACATACACACAACAATTTGCAATTAGACGCATAATAACAAAGAATACAGCGTGCCGCCTCTTTTCTTTGGATGCCTTTTTTAAACCAGCGAAAGCTCGCGCGTTCTCTCTTTTGAGACGGTTAGAACGGTCGCACATAAAACTTGCGTTTCTCCTACCCGGCCGCTTCCTCCTCTCATTATGTGTAGTTGGTTATAACTAAATAAGCTATAATAATGGTGTATTATTCATATTTAGTTTCAGTTTCAGTTAGGGAAAAGGAGTTTCGCGGAACTAGAGCCAATAAATGAGCTGCGCTTAGAGTATCGGCACTCTCTTCCCCGACAGTGTTCTGAACGCCGCCATTTTGGTGCTTGTGCAGAGCAGGCGCAACTGCCGATCGTCATGATTCAAAAGTGCGACATCCTCAGCATTAGATTCGGTGTTATGAAGCTCATGTAAGGTTGCTTTGCTTTGTCGCACACTGTTAAAAGTGGAGGACGGAAAAGCGTTTCTTGTGATTTCAGACAAAGCTTCAAATAACTGGCAACCATGATTTTAAGCCACAGTATGGCCAAGTGTCGCTACTCTGAAGCGTAGCTTATTTAATGACACTATTCATGCTCTTGTTCAAGAGGCTTGTAATACCTGGAGGGGCCATGACGAGCCCCGTCGATTCCACAAGCCACTACTTTTTGACACCTGCCTCTTCCTCATTGTTCCCGCTTGTGCCAGTAAATTAGCTACGGTTCAGAGTAACGACACTTGGCCATATTGTGGCTTAAAATCATGGTTGCCAGTTACCTGAAGCTTTATCTAAAATCACAGGAAACGCTTTTCCGTCTTCCACAAATGTTGAAACAACCCGCGACAGAGCACTGCAATATTGCATCAGCTTCCTAGCACCGCATCTAATGCTGAGGAAGTCGTACTTTTGGATCATGATGATAGGCAGTTGCGTTTGCTCTGAACAAGACCCAAAATGGCGGCACCCAAAACAATTTTGGGGGACGGAGTGCCGATACTTTAAAGCTCATTTAGTGACTCTAGGCACGAAGTGAACTCGGGTGTATTCTTTTCCTCTTCGTCTTCATTGTGTATTGATTTCAATCATATCGAATAATGAACACATTATATCACGCTACGCTTCTGTAATTATTTGTCTTAGATTTATTAACCTGACCCAGTACTTAAACCATTCATTTATCGATAGTAAATCTTCCAATATATTTTTTTAAATGTGAAGGTAAAAAGACACGGAGATTGATGATGATACAGACGCCAACGCCGCCCTCGGAAATTTTTTGAACATTAGAAATCAGCAGTTTGTCTGCCATCCGCCAGGTAGCGCAATAAAACACCCAAACAGTTTTTAATTGTTTTTAAAATTAGCTAAGCTCCACACCTATTCAAAAACCAAAGCAAGATAACTGTGAAGCTTTAATACATCGCAATGTATATCTATCCCAAACAATAAATGTTATTAGATGCCAATAAATCTGTTTGATGTCCAAAAAAGATATGCGTCAGAAACAGGTAAGTTTGAAGGGCTCCTGGAGCGTTATGACTTTGAAAATGAAAAAAAGCCATCGTCCACCTCTTGGGGAACCATTGTAGCTCTAAATGTTATAGAAGATTTTATCATAGTTTAATTATTTCCTCAGCGGCATTTGAAGTACCATGACTCGAAGCCCAAAAAAGTGCTACGTTTGATATAAAATATCTAAACAAAAATATTTTACACAACATTAAGTTTTTTTCTGCATATTACCAATTACAAGCACTACATCTGTAGCTGATTTCATTGTCCTAGCGCTTGTCAGTAAAGACATATTTGTGCTGAAAAATGTCAATTTTAGGGCAATATTTGGATGTATGAAAAAAACAAAGTAGTGCAGATACCAAAAAAGGGTATCGTTAAATTCTGCTCCGACATCATCTTAACAAAACTGTTATATTGGAACCGTGTTATCTTTAGTGGATCGTTCATGAAACATGAACTAGCGGAGCAAGTGAGGGTCCGCGCCATCATATTCGCATCGCTATAAATGCGCATGAACAGCAAAAAACTAACACACACATAATATCAAATGAAAGAGGATTGCATTGCCTTTCGAATGACATCAGTCCCACAAAACAGTATTTAAAAGGAGATGAGTAATGACCTGCCAAAAAATACCTAAACTGCCACATTCAGTGGGACCGTGGCCTTAAACGAGCTGCCAGGGCGTAATTAAAAAAAAAAAAAAAAATCTAACGCAGGTCTGAACCACGCAAGGATCGTCTCGAAGCATGGTAGCCTCAACAGACGCTTGCCGCCACACGGAGGAGAAAGCAAAAGGCCCGAAGTTTGAATGTGAAGGTAAGACGTGCTTTAATAATAATGATCTTTATTTGCACGTTCCTTTGTATGACTAAAGTGATCGTGCTGAGACACTTTATAGCAGCGATTGCTCTCGAACAAAGGACAGGACAGCAGAAAGGCACATTGGAAGGCAATGAGACAGGCAGGGAGATAACTGACCTCTCTGTTGTAAAACGTTTTTCAGAGGAGGTGCAAAGAGCTGGCCCTCACCTTTTCAAGGCAGCAGCAGAACACTACGAGCCCCGAATCACTGCAGCGGCTGACTCACGCGGATGCTGTTCTGGGGTGCTATGTTGCGCTTTTTGCACTCCCAGGAGACTTGGAAGAGGGAAGTGACGTCAACGACACAGCAAACGCAAATTGGATGTTGACAGAAGAAAACGAAATCAACACCCAATCTGCGCTTGCTGTGTCGTTGACGTCACTTCCCTCTCCCTAGTCTCCTGGGAGTGCAAAAAGCGCAACATAGCCTCCCAACACCCTGCACTGCACATGGTTCGAAGCACACTTCAGGGGACCAGTGCATGCCCCTGATGCATCGTCGCGGTATGTTTTGTACTGCTTTTCCTAGCGGTGCACTGAACAGTCCAATCTTGAAGGGAACACGCGAGCGCGTGGCCAGTGCTCCATGCAGCAAAGACCGCCAGCTCCCGCGGAAGCTTGCAGCACACGCAGTGACGCCAGCAGCCATGCATGCTGGCGTCGTCTGCTACTGTACCGTCCTTTCGTTCGGTGCGCAGAAAAAAAGGAGTGACCGCTCTGTTAAAAGTCTGATGGTGAAGGCATCCCTTATAGAAGCACTGTATGGCTCTCTGCACGCTAGAATGGGGGCTGTCGTTGATGCTCGCAGAGGCGTCGCCCACAACTAAGCAGACGACCAAAGTCCTGAGCAGGTGACTAATCGTTGGATTGTTCTTTGGTAGGGAGAGATAATGAGCTTCTACTCCCAGCTTTGTTTTTTTGTTTTTATCACCATTTAGTATGTTACCATCAAAACAGCATCCTGGTGTTCACACCCCGCAGGGGGCACCTGTGAAAGCAGGTGTTTGGAGAGTGGCGTCTCCACGGACCCCGAGACCCGCAGGGGGCGCCTGCACCTTAGGTGCTAGGTGCTTGGTGAGTAGCGTCACCACGGACCCCAGCCACGTGGGCCACCATACCCGCACGCAGGGGGCACCTACTATATAGTAGGTGCTTGGTGAGTGGCGTCACTACGAACCCCGAGCCATAAGGGTTCGCCCACCCAAGTCTGGGTGGGCGAACCCACCCATGAAAAGGATTCCCTTTTCCCCGTGTCCGGGGAAAAGGGAATCCTTGTGGTCGAGCTGAGCCCGGGGTACGTTTGGACCCTTCGGGGCCCCCCGGGTGAGGCAATACACCGCTTCGGCCCCTGCTTCTCGTAGACGGGTGTCCTGGCTTGGCCCGACCAGGATGATTCAGTCAGTCGCCTCTTCTACACTCTTCCTTCCTTCTTTCACTTTTCCTTCCACCATCCTTTTTCTTTCTTTCCCTCTACACTCTCTTCCTTCCTTTTTCACCTTCTTAGGCGGCAAGGGCTAACCTTGGGTGGCGAGAGAGACCTTTCTTGAACCACACTTGGTTATAGTTACTGGGTAGCACTGGTAGAGTATACATACCCAGCCAAGCCATACTTGCTATGGGGTGCTACCTACCCCCTTGTTGGGCTCGGTGGTGGGCGGTGCGCCACGGTTTCTGAAAACCTCCCCATCTTTATGGGTTCCAAGCAAAACCAACTTGATCGGCCTCCCAAAAGAGTCCGCACCGAAGTTTTAATCTCAGACAAAACTCCAGGTAACCAATTCAAGTACCCAAAGTTTTTGGTCGTTCATTCTGAAAGTGAAAAACAGCTGTCAAAATTATCGCCTTTCCTTGTTGCGAAAGTACTTGAAAGTGTTGTGGGCAAAAGCTTCAAAGCCAAAAAAAATGTCTACTGGCGATCTTCTGGTGGAAATTGAGACCAGCGAGCAGAGTGCGGCCCTTCTTGCACTGAGTTTAGTGTCCGACCATAAGTATGCAATGTGGCGGCCACGCCACATCGCACACTGAATACGATTCAGGGAGTTATCTCTGAGGAGGACCTTTTAGAGTCAACAGACGACGAAATTGCTGAAGGTCTTTCTGACCAAGGGGTCGTGGTCGCAAGGCGTATCTGCATGCGACGAGACGGGCAGGAATTAAGAACAAAGCACATCGTACTAACCTTTGAAGCCACCACACTTCCTGAAGCCGTCAAGGCTGGATACCTCCACTGTAGGGTTCGACCATATATCCCTAACCCCCGGAGATGTTTTCAATGTCAGAAATACGGACATGGCTCCCAGAATTGCCGTGGGAAAGCCACATGTGCAAAATGCAGCAAAACCGACCACAAGACAGATTCCTGCACAAACAGTGCACAGTGCGCAAACTGCAATGAGGCCGACCCAGCGTACTCCAGATCATGCAGGGTATAGAAAGATGAAAAAGAAGTTCTGACACTAAAAGCAAAAGAAAACTTGACATACCAAGAAGCACATCGCCGTTTCGCTTTCTTGCGAAAGGGCGGCTATGCGCAGGTGGTGCAGCGGGGACATGCACCACTGAAGGTTGCAGTGGCTACCCAAACTTTTTTTTTTGGACAATCGGAAGCCAGAGCAGGTCCCCCACGCCCAAGCTGAAAATTCAGCTGCCCGGGCGTGCAGTAACGGTTGGGGGATCTACTGCCTCCTCCAGCCAGACGACCACCCCTCCCGCTCTCACGGGGCAGCAGTCTGTCCCAGCTAGTGGCGAGGGAGCACAGACAGCATCCCCTTCACAGGATGGGTCGGCAACGGCCAAGCCTGTCCGTAGCCCGCGATCCCCTTCAAGGGAGAGGGGCCCACGCTCTCACGAGAGGACATCCACATCCAAGGAGCGGCACAGTTCCTGTGCCACTCCAGCACCCAAAGGGCAGGAACAGGTAGTCTCCGGCACCTCCCTGCCTGGCACCTCCACCGCCTCTTTGGCTGGAAGTGGTCGTGGCCGACGCCTGGTACCTCGTGTCCAGAGTCTTTCCACACCTTCTGAAAAGGTCTCGCCACAAGAGTCAGAACCTATGGATGAGAGTACCCAGGCCTCCTCTCATGCGTCTGACACAAAAGACATGGAGTGGCAGACTCCCAAAGCCCGCCATAAAAGTAAAAAACAAATAATACCCCCAAAGTAACAATCTCCAACTCATGGCTGCAACATTTCTTCAATGGAATTGCAGGGGATTGCTTACTAACCTTGACGACGTTGAGTATCTTCTGCAGGAACATAAACCTGCAACCCTGTGTTTACAAGAAACACATTTATATGCCTCACATACCAATTTCCTCCGAAATTTTACTGTCTTCCGGGAGGACCGCCTAGATGCTTCCATTTCATCTGGAGGAGTAGCGATAGTAGTCCCAAGGCTGGCTGCTTGCACGGCCATACCCTTACTCACTCTTTTAGAAGCAGTGGCCGTGCGAATTCTAGAACATAAACCATTTCTGTTTGTTCACTATATTTATGACCCTCACAAGCTATAACAAGTGCAGAACTTCACTCTCTTTTAGATCAACTTCCAAAGCCCTTTCTTTTGATGGGGGATTTTAATGCCCACAATACCCTTTGGGGTGGGAATCGAACTGATGTTCGTGGGAAAATAATCGAATCAGTTTTAACTTCTCGAAACCTTTGCCTTTTTAATGCTGGTACTTCAACTTATTTTAGCACGTCATCCTTATCATCGACCTCCATCGACCTCTCCATTGGTAGTGTCTCGTTGCTGCGTGACTTCTCATGGAGTGTAGATCAGAATCCCTATGGTAGCGATCACTTTCCCCTTGTTTTAAAAAGCAGTCTCTTTTAAGTCATTACAAACTCGAACTCCGCGTTGGAAGTTAGAAAAAGCTGACTGGGCCACTTTTAAAAAGGAGTCAGAGTTGCATCCAGATACATTAGCTAGCTTAGATGTTAATGAAGCCTGTGAAGTCCTGACTAATGCAATTGTCCAAGCAGCACAGCGCTCTATTCCAAAAAACGTCAGGACGCTTACCATCAAAACCAAAGCCTTGGTGGAATGAGGAGTGTAGCCTAGCTCGTAAGCGGCAAAACTGTGCATGGACAATAGTGCGTCGTTACCCAAGAGTTGAAAATGTCATTAATTTTAAAAAGCTACGTGCTAAGGCCCGCTGTGTAAGACGCCAATAAAAAAAACACCTGGATGTCTTATGCTTCCTCAGTCAACAGTTCCACAGGTGTAAAAGTCGTATGGGACAGGGTCCATAGAATTAGAGGGGATTACCGTGCATTTACCATCCCTCTCTTTACAATAGATGGCAGTCGTGTTCCCACACTAGAACAGCAGGAAAATATTATTGGTGAACACTTCCAGTCTGTCTCGGGATCTGACCATTATTCAGACACCTTTCTAAAATACAAGGCTGCCAAAGAGAAAGCACCAATAAAATGTACTGGAGGCTCTAAAGAGGCTTATAATCAACCCTTTACCCTGTGGAACTGATGATCGCCCTTGTCAAGGGAAAGAGTTCATCCCCTGGTCCAGACCTTATTTATTACAGTATGCTTCAGCATTTACATCCTGCAACAATAGATACCATCTTGTCATTTTTTAGCTGTGTATGGAGAAGTGGAGCTTATCCCATTTTCTGGAAAAGGGCAATTGTGATTCCTTTGCTAAAGCCTGGAAAGGATCCATCATCACCTTCCAGCTTCAGGCCCATTGCACTAACCAGTTCCCTTGGAAAAACGTTTGAACGAATGGTGACCTCTAGATTGGTGTATTTCTTAGAGCAGAAAAACTTCTTCGACAAATTCCAATGTGGGTATCGGACGGGGCGATCAACTGTTAATCACCTTGTTCGCCTAGAAAAAACAGTCAGGGATGCCTTTGTTAACAGACAACATTGTTTATCTGTGTTTTTTTATATTGAGAAGGCATATGATACAACATGGCGGTACGGAATTTTAAGTGATTTATTTTCAGCTGGAATTCGAGGGAAAATGCTAGCTCTTATCAAGAGCTCCCTCAATGAGCGCTCGTTCCAAGTGAGGTTGGGCACGACACTTTCTGAAACGTTTGTCCAGGAGAATGGTGTTCCCCAAGGGTCGGTGCTGAGTGTTATTTTGTTTCTGATCAAAATGAACTCTCTTACACAGGTTCTTCCCCGATCTATCTCCTATGCGCTTTATGTTGATGATGTGCGAATTTCCTGCTCTTCGTGTAATTTAGCTATTTGTGAACGGCAAGTTCAACTAGGTATTAATAGAATGACACATTGGGCAGATGAGAATGGTTTCCGTTTCTCAGCAGAGAAAAGTCTGTGTTCTGTTTTCCATTCGAAGGGGTATCATTACAGAACCCACTCTAACTTTAGGAGGTCAGACCTTAAACGTACGTCCTGAGCATACATTTTTAGGGGTTATTTTTGATAAGAAACTTAGCTTCCGTAGTCACATCTTGCAACTAAAAAAGAAATGCCTGCTAGCATTAAATATTTTAAAAGTTCTTTCTCACAAGTCCTGGGGTAGTGAGAGAAGGTGCCTGCTGCGCTTGTATCAGTGCCTTGTTCAATCGAAATTAGATTATGGTTGCATGGTGTACGACTCGGCACGGCCGTCTCTTCTTCGGATCTTGGATCCTGTCCACCACCTGGGACTACGACTTGCAACGGGGGCTTTCAGGACCTCTCCAGTTCCCAGTCTCTACGCTGAACCTAATGAATACTCCCTTGGAAAAGACGTCTGCTCTTGGGCCTTCAATATAACTTAAGGGTTCGCTCTATGCCTCGACATCCTGCACTCGAAGTGTTTCTGGACACGCGGTATGAAAGGACGTACCAGAACAAACCTTCTGTTATACCTCCTTTTTCCCTGCGCCTTAAATCTGAGGCCAAGAATTTTGCAATAGACTTAACGAGTCCGGTAGCAGTGTTGCCCAGCCCTGTTGCACCCTGGAACATCACGCCTATTCCGATTATTTTTTTCTCTTTCCAAGTATGACAAGAAGAATGTACCAGCGGAAGATCTTAGGCAAGAGTTCTTCCAAATCTCCGAAAACTCCAAAAACTTTGTACAGTTCTACATGGATGGAACAAAGGGGAGCAGCAGTGTTGGATGTGCTGTAGTCAGGCCGTCATGCAGTATTGTAACGCGGCTCAGCAACCAAGCCAGTCTTTTCTGCAGAGTCATGACCCACTGGTAGCTGTGGATACTATCATCAAAAGGAATATCAAAGCCGCCGTAATTTTCTCAGACTCTCTCAGTGCACTCCGTGCACTTGCATCCCTAGATCGATCAAAAGATGCTTTTATTCTGCAAATACGTAACAAGATTGTAGCTGCCAGAAACTCTAACATCACCATTAATTTCTGTTGGGCCCCTAGCCATGTCGGTATAGTCGGAAATGAGGAGGCCGATAAGGCTGCTAGAACATGTCAGGACATGGACACAGAGGTTACCTGCATCCCATACCTGGATTACAGGTCATCATTGAAAAAGTCGATTAAAAATAAATGGCAGGAGGGATGGGACACTGAAGTCCATAATAAACTCCATTGCGTGAAACCTGTTCTTTCCGAATGGGCCAGTTGCCGACATAACGAGCGTTTTTATGAAGTTGTTTTCTGTCGCCTGAGAATTGGTCACACCCACCTCACACATGGCTTCCTTCTGCGATCGGAGGATGCTCCAATATGTGAAGAATGTGGTGAAACACTCTCCGTCTTGCACATTCTCACTCAATGTCCGAAATATCATGAGGAGCGTCGCACCAACTTTTCACGTTTTTTTAGAGAACAGATCCCATTCCACCCAGCCCTTTTGCTGGGAGAGGAGCCTCTTGTTCCTCATAACCAAGTTTTTAACTTCCTAAACAGCATTGGCCTACTACAGCACATTTAAGTTTGTGGATTCTCTTTGTATTGTCTGCATTTCATGAAATATTTTAAACTCTCATATCATGCCTCACCTTTAACTAAATAGCACCGCAGTTTCTTTTTCTACCATTGTTCTGGCGCACTATGGCCTTAGCAGCCGCTGCGTCATTAAAACCCAAAATCAAATCAAATCAAATCTGGTGTTCACATAAATATGTGTTAACAGTACCTATCGTCAAATATGTGACCTAAAGAGCCATCTGCGGCCGAGGATATCTGTTAAGTGTTCTCTGACCATTGACGAGCTGTTTTATGGAATAATCGCTCTTGGAAGTCCCCTAACCGTTTTTAGCCATTCCAATATCAGATTTTTTTTACCTACGGTTATACAGGTTTTCTTTTTTAACATTTACAGATTTAAAAATAAAAAGTGAAAGTTATGACAGTTATAAGTTATACGGCCAGGCGGACATTAGATTAATGGAAGAATGCAGCTAAAAGTCTGTGTAGATCATGCTTCTTTGCAGCGCAGCTACATACTTGGGTAGGACCACCCCCATGAAGTGGGGTAGGGGGGGCTGCACGCGTGTGTTGGGTAGCCCCTCTTGGTTTTACAACTGTACCCTGTTGTAAAATTCTAGATTATAATGCGAACAAGTTGACAACAAAAAAGAAGAGCCAGAACTTGGTCACTATTGATCTTCCAAGTAGAGATGTAAAAGAAACAAAAAGAGAGAACAGCAAAATTCGGAAGAAGACATCTCGCTTCTTTCATTTTAATTTGACTAAGTGACATCGGTCGGCGACTGTAAGACTTCTAATCACTATAGTTATACACCACAGGTCCCGGGGATCATGGCATCAATGAGCTCGCTTTCACCTTGTCCAAGGCAGCAGCGGAACAGTACGGGCAGGCCCGGAGTCACCGCATCGGCTGGCTCACGGGCGCTGTCCTGTACTCTGCACGGCACTGCGTGCGGCTTAACCGGCCAAGCAGAGGGTCACTGCATGACCTTTATGAGGCGTCGCTAGCCATTGTAAGTATATTTTGGACGCCCGTGTCAGGGGATGTACTTTTGTGTTCTACAACAGAACATGTTTGGTGGCGGTTCAGTCTTGCCAATTAAGCCATTTTGAAACATAATTTTGTGGCGACTTGGCTTAAGTTTTCTGGCTCGGCGGTCTTTTGCACCAGTGTCTAGGCTCGGCGTAAACCTCTTTGTACTTTATTGTCAAGGATAGTGTAATTTCTGCAACGCCGTCGAAGCAACTTCTGCATGCGAACAAGATGCAAGACGAAGCTACATGCTCGTGCACAGTGCATGACTACATGTGAAAACTAATAGCGAGTATATTTCGCTGCACTCGTGCCCATGCGCACCCACTAGCAACATAGAGTGAGTTTGTTTCGGCGCCGGCATTCCACACTTGCATGAGCTCGCTGCACCCTGAGAATTAAGTCTGTACCTGAATGCACTCCGTCATGCATCACTTAGGCAGGGAACAAGAGCAGATGACTGGTTTGTCCACCATGAGAGACAGTAGAACTGCAGAAAAAGTGAATTTTCTGCTAAGAAATGACGTCCCACGGGCAACTAAATCGGACGCGAGCTTGAATTGTGTGTCTGCTATTCTATGAAGCAAGCAATCCACAACCTGTGCTTAATTTGCAAGTTTTCAGTCATTTTGTTGCCGTACAGACGTCCAAATACACCCGTGGATAAAGAAAGGTTCAGAACAAACAACAGCCACCGCGAGATATCTCTCACCATCCGTGCGGGGGTGAAAAGTTGGGACTGCCCAGCAGAAACCTGCGACGCGTCCGATCGGAAGCCGAGAAAGCTAAACACTGTTTTTACCCGAGGCTTGGATAAAATCACCGTGTTTAAAGGGGCCATAGAATTTATTTTGGGTGGGATAAATTAATTTAGATTCATATTTTGCTAATACAGTTGAACCTTTCAAGAACGAAATTCTCGCGGCAACGAAGAAATCTGGCGGCCCCAGCGAACGTCCATAGAGTTCAATGCATTTGCACCCTCTCAACAGCGAAAAGTTTTTAAAAAGCAGTCCCGCATTAACGAGTTTGAGGTAGTGATCTGCCATAGAGTTAATATAATGTATGCTAGAGGTTCAACTGGCGCTGGTGTCTATGCGACTTCCGTGACGCAAATTGAAGGAGACAGCGACCAGCCTACTTTTGTGGCGCTCCTGTGCATTCCTATGGAGAAACGCGCGTGCATTTTGTCTCTTGGCCGGAAAATAACATGGAGCACTTTGGTCATTTGGGTCGTACCGAATAGTGTGTACCTTGATTAACATTGTAAAAGTGTAATTACTTTAGTTAGCTCATTTTTCTTCATTAGTGAACAATGTTTAACTTCGCTACATTTCAATCCCAAACGTGTGTTCCGCAGCACGTATGTAAAAACAAGCGACGATTCAAGGCAAAATTATAATCGAAAGGAATATAGAGTTTGGAGATTTGTGTCTGTCCTTTGTCCCTCTTGTTCCCCCTCTCCAGGGATTATTTTCGTCATCGTTGTCCAGCTCGCTTGCACCTTTGCATTTAATTGCATTATAGTCATAAATATAGAGTGTTCGAGGCTCGCCAGCATTCCGGTGACGCTTATATATTTATGATATGCCAGTCCTGTCACTATATGAAAATGACCCCGACGTGCATGAGCGGATAAAAACATTCAAGACGTAAATAATAAAGCACGTGGGCTACGAAAGCTCTCCCTTCGTATTGTTTTCTCTGCCGGGCAGCTTTTATCGGGCTCTTGTTCTCAAACATTTCGAGCGTACGGGTGATATTTCGGACGTAAAACAAGCATCTTCACACAGAGCAGAAAGAATAAAGCGGCAGTTATTTAAAATCGGAATATATTACGTGGCCTTCGATTTATTTTTCATCTTTCATGCCCTGGTAGTTACTGATCCAGTGTTACTGCGTAGTTCTAGCCGTCTCCCTTAATTTCCAGATGACCTTCGTTCGTTTGGTACGTATATCCCTCATGCTGAAAAGCGCCGACGTCGTGTTCGCGCTAAGAGTGCCCGACAGTGCACATAAATACACGTGCGAAGACGTTTTAGCACCGTTTTTTTTTCCCCCATAGAAATGCATTACTGGAAGTCAATTTTCGACTGGTTGCTGTCTGCTTCAACTTGCGTCGGCACACTAGCGCCACTTAAACCTCTAGCGTACATTATAATAACCCTATGCGATCTGCAACATTTTTTCGTCATATGAGCCAGTTTGGAACGCAGAATTACGAAAAGTGGAGCAGTACACTCGTCCGATAAGTTGGGCACATACGTTTTCGACAAGCATCGGCGCGGCCATTGCTGTTTACATTCGGTCAAATAATAATGACAATAGCAACTAGATTTTTTTTTTTTTTGAGGGGGGGGGTGCTGAAAACAGCGTACCTAGGTACGTGACGTTTCACGTGAGGACACCGCCCACTGCCATTTCGCCGTCCGCCGCGTGCACGCCAAGATCGCTCGCGCCTTGTTTACTACCTTTTGTTTGGCCTGTCGGAGAGGTGCCGCCTCCCATTAAAAAGCTTAAGTTTTTGGCACTTCAGGAGAACTCTGCGATCATTGCCAGAGCTGCAAAAGCCAGAAAGAAGTCTGATATTACAGAAGAGTTCAGTATCCTTTGCTTCCCGCTTTCTACGATTCTAAAATCCAAGGACAGCATCATGAAAAGTAATAGGTGTGCTTATTTGTCCATTTCTGCAGCAGCGAAATTCTCGCGAGAACAAAAAAAAAATGTTTCCGTCCCCTGCGGTTTGGTTATTACGGGGTTCAACTGTCACATATTGTTCAGCGGGCCGAAAGTCAAATGTCTGCTTTTCGGTACGGAAATTCGAAAACATGGCGGACTATTTTGTACCTGCTTTCCTTCAAAAGCTTTCCGCATTTTCAACACATCCGTGGTACCCAGAGCACGTCAGCCGGCCCGAGCTCACATGTTAGACTCGACCACTGCGTCACCATTGGCGACGAGATGTTTTGGTGGCTTCATCTCGCGGACGCCTTCCTGTAGCGGGGCTGGTAGGATCGAGCAGACGACGCGTTACGTCAAAGCGCAGAGTGTCTAGTTAGTTCGCCTCTATGTCGATTAAAAATTTAAAGGGCAACTCCGGCCGAAACTTAAAATGAAATAAATTACTGGTATCGCTGTAGTGACACAAAATACGACCCCAGCCAAAATATTACGTCCGTGGGACGCCGCATTCTCAACTAATGCCGATAATAAAAACGCGACCCGCCGCGAGCCGCTGCTCCTTAGCGGGCGGCCAGCGGGTTGCTGATCACTAAAGCAACATTGGGCCGTGACGTCAGTATCGTTCTCTCTTTTTCCTCCGGTCTGGGCGTTGCGCAGAGTGCGCTTCTTTGAGTCGCTACCACCGCTACTTCGGCTTGTGATTGGCGTGTTTAGCCGTTGCTTTTATCTGTAGCCCATGTAGCTTCGGTATAGCCTTTTGTTTATTTGCCTTGTGAGGACTCCAAGACTCGTTTTAGCGAGCAACTTGGTGCGCCCAAGACTGCCCAGCTGTTCCTCGAAAGATGCCGAGTACAACTTGTAGCGCTGTTGGCTGCTCTAACAACCCGGTGCGCAACACGGAGGTGCTTTTTCACGAGTTTCCAACGGACTGGAAATTGGAGAAGGTGTGGGTGAACGCTGTTTGACGAGTGGACTTTGGACTTCGGCTTTTAAGCGCCCGAGGAAAAAAGAACGAAAAAGCAGACGTGTACAGCCCAGCACACGTGTGTTGGGGTGCCGCAGCCCGCGCCGGAGAACCTGAAACCTTCGTGTCTGGGACTGACCCGCAGCGCGAAAGCGAGAGGGCCCCCAGTATTGTACGTCACTGGCCGCGCGGCGTAGAGCAATGCCGCTCCATGCACGGAGCTCCGATGACAATTTAGGCCTCGCGACGAGTACGGAAGACCGCACACACAGCGACAGACCCCGAGTACGGCACCAAGGAGTTCACTCGTTTTCCAGTCGCTAGCTTTTGGGTATACGTACTAACTCTTGCTACATATGCTGGATAACTACCACGTATACAGAATTAAAACAAAATCAGCTTACCTCCTATCTTTAGACGGCTAGCGCAACAGAGGTAGGCGCCGCTCGGCCTGCGTACTCGTTGAACGAGAACGATCCTGATGTCACGTTCACACAGCGGCTGATTTCCAGTGTTGCCGGGGCCTCGAGCGGCTAGTTTCGGTTTTGTTGGCCGCGCCCAAAACAAAACTTTGAGGCGTTGATATCTTTAAAACTACGCACAATAACGAGAAAAAAATTGCACCTTGCAATTCAGGGATGCTGACGGCACTAAAAACAGTCATAATCCCAAAATCGAAAGTATAAACGGAGTTGCCATTTAATGGTCATTCTGGTCAGGAACTTTAGACGCATAGGCCCCGGAAAAGTAAAATTATTTCGACGTACAAAAGTAACGACTCTCACTGAAAGTAAGAACAGGAAAGTCCGGGAGATTGTTTGTGTACAAACTCCGGAACGATGTTTGTGCCGGAGCGGCTCCGCGGCCGCTGTCTTGCGCAGTCGTTTCATATAGACCGACACGCGGGCTTGACGTCACGGAGCTGCGGCGGCGCTGCGATCGCGCCGGAGCCGGGGGGTGTGGGCAAAAGCGCGCACGTTTCGCATGGGCGTCGTAGCATTTCAGCATGCCGTGAAGCTGTGTTGCCATTAATTGCACCGAAATGTACGAGAAAATCAGTGGAGGGAGTTTCCACAAGTTCCTGGCAGACTCTAAAAGGCATAGAAGGTAGATAATATCCGTGGATCGAAAAGAATGGTCGCCTCGCGCGAACGACCATTTGTGCGGCAAACACTTTCTTGAA